GTGTGTGTGTGTGTGTGTGTGTAAGCATATGATGACATGTTTTTATGGTCCTTTGAATCACAATGTGTAGCTATATTTAAATTGTTAGGTGAGTGCATGTGTGAGCCACTTTATAAGTTTGTGTTATTTTGTAGGTTTTGGATGTTTTTCTTACTTCTGCATCAAGCATGCGTTCTCATGTTCTCACTCTTGTGTTCCTACCTTTCTCCGTGTGTGCACTCATCTTTTAGACACAGAACAAGATTGCTCTTTTAATGACTTCTTGTACCTGAGCGGCCACTCTGTCTCACAGCTTGCTGTATTTCCTTCAGATATCTGAACTCTCTTAGATTTGTGTAGATGGTTTCTTTGTCCAAACCTTTTGATGTCATAGTATGACATTTCATTTTATAGCAACAAGCACTCTTGCTGCGCTCCGCTACCTCTGTTGCTAGAAAATGAAATAATAAAAAGGAAAAAAAGTTTTAAAATCCATTAAAGCTACAGGGTCATTCTTCCTTTCCTTTCCTGCTAAAACTATGCTGTGATGTTACACTAATGTAGAGCGCCACTGAGAGTTAAATTGGAAATTGTAAAAAAAAAAAAAAAAAAAGGGTGGTTGACAGCAGCCAAAATGGTTAAATGATGATCTCTTTGAAAGAAAAAGAAAGACAGGCTGGGAAAAAAGATCATTCACGAAAGGCGCAAACATACCAAAGCATACTGTGGGCCCTAAATATCTCCTTAATGGAACAGTCATTTTCCAAATCACCACCAAGACACCAGGAATAAATGTATTTTCGTTCTATGTCTGTGTCTTATGTGTATTGAGGGATTTTATCCATCACTTTAATACAGTTTTATTGGAGCCAGCGGATGCCATACAGAGGATTACATCAAAAAGGCACTTTTGTACTGTCTTCTATACATTCAGGCCATAATGGTTTCTGTCTGGTATTCACACAGAGATGCTACAAGGTGATGTCAGTATTAGTACGAGATTTGAAAACCCATCTGGTTATACGGTATACAGTACTACTTTCTAACAAAAAAATACAAGGAACATAATTATATTTCTACAAACATGAGAAATTGATTGAATTAATTAATTCATAATGAATGAGCCATGTTGCAAGTTGTTGATACTGAACACATCTGCAAAACTTGCAGATGACTAACAACCAACTTCATTTGTTCCCCCTACAACATCCATTGCAGATAGCAATACAGTAATTGTTCATAGCAACTTAAGCATGATTACTTTTTTATTGTTATGTTTAGGAACTCACAGCACTTGATTTAGGTGAGGGAAGGAACCCTGTCTTGGTTAAAAATTTTAAAAAATCAAAAAATGAGACATGACCTGCTTGATTGACAAAGATTTAACCAAAACCACGATCCTTCCTTAGCATCAATTCCAGTGCTTTTGTTGTCTAAACCAAACCATATGCTGCAGTCTGGATGTGAATCCTCCTCCTGGGGTTTGTCTACAACTTGTGTGCAAAGTAAAAAAAAAACTTCAACTGAACATAATTTAGGCAGTAATTATAGTTTCTTCAAAACACCTGGTACAATAACTTGTTAGCATATAAACATAACTCCTAGGAGACAGGGTTAGCACCACTGTAGGTGATTGAATTACATTTAAAAAGACAAAACTCGAGCAATAACTGACCTCAAAGAATTATCCAAAAGAAATGCACCAGCAGTGACTCTTTGATTCTTGCTGACATGACGTATAACATGGACATTTGTTGGTGCTTCCTTAAGACTCACCAGCCTTTCACATTACATCAAATGAAGGTCAAAGACAACAAGCAAACTGCTAGCATTCAAATGATATACTTTCATATTTTGAGTGTATATCACCCATGTAATTCTGCTGATAAATACAACGGGGCATTATAATTAGAGAGGTAGCATGCTGAGAGAAACCAGATAAATGTGCAGTACAATGCATCGTGTTACAGAGCTGTCATGAGAGGAGAGAGAGAAAGAGAGCGTAATTGAGCTGTCTATTGTGGCTTTACTCCGTTTGCATTTATTTCCTCCCAGCTTACATTTGTTCTTCAAATGATCTCATCTTTATTTCGTCAGTCTTCTTTAATGCAGTTGCATTTGATGTTCCACACCGCTTCTTCTACTTTACTTCTTAGATTGTTCTTTCAGTGCTTCCATATTTTCATTGCTGTTGGGTTTTTGTTTTTGTTGTGCTTGAAATATACTGTAAAACATGTTACCTTGTATATCTTTATGTAACAGCTCTATGAATAAGGTCACTTTTTGATGTTATTCCTTTCTCTACTTCCGTTTCTGCCACTATTTCAACTCTCCGTCTCTCTATTCTTTCTTTTGCTCATTGAACATAACTGAGCTCCAGCAGTGTGTAATGACCACAGCAGTTCCCAATCTGATGATAATATTCTTCACCACAGTCCACACTCTGATGCTAATTTTTCTTTCTGATGTTATTTTGAACAGAGAAAAATGTCTTTAAAGGTTGATCTGTGGTTTTTAATGTCATTATATAATCACATTGTCAATAATGACATATATTTTTTGTTGGTTTAATTGTTGCCATATGATGTTATGGTTTATTTTATGGATGTGGGTTGTCTGTGTGGTAGCTCTTCATGTTATGTACAGATGGCTGTAGTGGTTGTTGATGTTGAGGTTAGTTGTGGTTGCTGTTTTTGCTCCACTGGTCATGACTGTTGCAGATTGTTGTCTGTGGTTGTTTTTTTGATGTGTTATTATGATGGCTGAAATTCTTGTGGTTGCCTGTGTACTGCATTATTGTTGTCATTATTGTGTCTTCTATTGTTGTTGTTGTTGTGGGTTTGTTGACTATTCACAGTTTAGATGACTGAAGTGGTTCTTCTGGTTGTGGCTGTTCTTATTGTCATTCCTGGTGCATGTATTAGTCAGTTTTTGTTTTATTTGGTGTGGTTTTGTAGTTGCTTTAATTGGTGTGGGTGATTGTATTTACCATGGTTACATTTATAATCCTGAAACCTGAAACTTGAAAATGGTCAAGTTAAAGAAGAACACAGAATCACAACTTATTATTACGTTGTAACTTTACAGTGACTGTATTTGTGGACTTATAAAACAATAGAATGTAAATTTTCTATTTTAATTTTATGTTCTAATGTATTACTTTGCATTATGTAAAACAATGAAGGATGCTATACCAGAGAGCTTACTTTCCAAACATATCTCTTTCACTGAATTTCCACTTTTCTGGGGCTTTCAACTGCATCTCATATTCTTTCTCAGATGGATGGAGTTTGTGTAGTTGCCAAATAACCGAATAAATAAATGAATAATGAAATCAAATAAACAGTTTGACAACTGAACAATCTGCTGAGGAAGACTCTGAAGTGCATTTGAAAGAGTTGTAAAAAGGCAGTGAGGCAAGATTTGGATTTATTTGTTTTTGTCAAATAACCTTGATCTTTTCGTAACACTTAAAAAGTTCACAACGTTCTCAGTATTCGGTTCTGAGGCAGTAAACGTCCTTAGAGTCAACCAAAGCATGCATGTATAGTATGTGGCTACAACAGCATAGCATTAGCATTAGTAACTTATGCCCTGGGCTTAGCCATTACAAAGTCAAACACTGCACCTCACTAATTCAGTTAACCTCACTCAGCTCACAATAGCTCTACATCTTGTTAATGGTGTCAATTTGTTATTGTGTCAAATCAATGAAAACAAAACGCAAAAGGCCTGAGCTGACAGCTAGCATTTTTAAAGTCTGAATAAAATTAACTACCAGCAATTATTTAACTTGAAGAAACATTTTCTCCCTAACGTTCGACCTCTTTCTGTTTTCTGTCTCTTTACATGTGGACTGTGTATGTGTGTGTTTGATATTTGCGGGCAGAGCAATTTCTAAACCAATTATGTGCATATGTGTGTCTTAATAACCCTCTGAACAGCTATAGAGACTTGCTGACCATTCCTCTGTGCTGCCATGGTGGGCTAATTAATCAGATTAATTGGATGCTGTTGATCAATAGCCAACGGGGTGTAGACATTAGTTAGTTAATATGTTTCTCATCATCCGGTGTGAGGATGTGTGTTTGTGTGTAGGAGTGTGTGTAAGAGTGTGTGCTTTAATATGAGCCAATAGTGGTTAAATT